TTCATTCTCGAAGAAGACCGTGACATCAGGGAGGTGAGGTCATGACATGCAAGTGAATTGGATTGAAGGGAAAGAGGGCTGTGCAAAGTCACCAGCCTCGGACTAGAAAGGTGTAAAGGGGCCAGGCTGTGAAGGGCTTAAAGATAAATTGAGGATTTTACATTTGATTCTGGAGGTAATAAAGCACCACTGGAGTTTATTTAGTAGTGAGGGGAGGTTGTGACCTGGGAAAAACTTGTTCCTTGGGTCAGCCCTGGCAGATTTGTGGACTGGGAATATCCAAAGTTTCAGAGGGCAAAACTCAACCTCTTAACACACACCTTCCCCCCCCCCCAACCCCACCCCCAGGCCCTTTGTACTCTCGAGATTTACTTACATTGCCCAATCTGTCCTGCTGTATCTGCTGTGTGCCTTTAGGACTGGTGCTAGGCATTGGGCAGATCAGGACAGGCTTTATGTAGGTCGTCTTGAAGGAAGTGAAAGATTATTTAAGGCAGAGGTAAAGGGGAAAGGCATTCCAGCCATGGGGCAGAGCAAGTACAGAGATGCAGAGGAAGGAGATAGAGAGTCTTAGGAGCAATTTGGCTGAACTCTGTAGAGAGTGGGAAGAGAAGTAATGTATGCATATACAACTCTAGGTTGGGGCCACATATAAGCCTGGTAGGGAAGTTTATATTTGTTCCTAGAAGTAATAGGGAGATACTGACGGTTATTGAGCAGGGGGATGACGTAATCCGTTCTGATTTAAAGAAAATCTCTCTGTGTGGATGATGGATTAGAAGGGAGAGAGGCTTGAAGCGTGGAGACCAATTAGGAAGCTGTTGCAATAGTTTAGGTGAATGGTTATGAGGGCTGGAACTCAGGAGGAAGGTGTGTTGGTAAAGAAAAAAAAAGGGTAAATGTCTGAGATATAATGGAGAGAGAAATGGCAAGATTTGGTGATTGATTGGATGTAATGGGTGAGGGAGAGGGCAGAGTTGAATATCATAGTGAGGGTGGCTGTGCTTTGGCCATAAATAAAGAAGTTTGGTAGACGGATGGGCTTGGGGGGAAAGATAACCAGTTCTGTTTTGGACTGGAGAGTTTGAGATGTCTCAGGGACCATCTATTTTGAAATGACCGCACTTAGGCTTTTTGAGACTCACTTACCTCATCTGCAGAATGAGTATGTAGTCCTTGAACTGCTTAACTCATGGGATTATGGGTCTAGCTTGGCTATAAGATTATGCTTACAAAGAGTTCCAAGGCAGTATTGAACGAGCTGCTTTAGTAACACAAAGAACCAAAAAGGTAGGTTGGAAAATCGTCTGAGGGCAGGAGAAATCAAAAATTAGAAAACACATGCTTTTAAGGGAAGACTCTGATAGCCACGAGGAGGCAGTGTGAAAAGAGCCCCAATGCATTTGCACTGAGTGATTCTGCCACCCACCACCTATATGACCTTGGACAAGTCACATAACTCCTATAGCCTTTGATGAGGGGGTTGGACTCCTGGGTCCTTTCCAGCCCTAAATCAATGAACCTGTGTTTTCCTTTGAGCCCCCAGTCCTGGAAGGGATGTAGCATGGAAGGAGGGGAGATGACCGGCCTGGTCCAGGGGACACTTTGCCTCGTGGGTGCTGGTTAAATGTTGTGATTTAGATGGTAGCCTGACAATAACTGTTAAGGCTTTGTTCAGTTGGGTGTATCAATTTTTCCCTGATTGTCAGTTCATTGGAGTTTGTGGCGTGGCTGTATTCCAGCCCTCAAGATTTACGTTTGAATGCAGTGGCTTATGGTGGGCAGCCATTCACAAGAACTCTGGCCCAGTGCCCTTTGCAGGCCAGTAGAAGGAGGAGAAATAAACAATGCCTCCCTGGGTGGCATTGGAAAAGGGAGGGAAGGATAGATTTGAGCATACAAAGAGAAGCCCCACTAAGATCCTCTCTGCTGATTGTGGGAGGGTTGGGTTAATGTTTAGACTCTTTAGGAGGTTTCTAAGAAGCAACTTGTTCTTCTCTTGACTTCTGGCCCCTTACCCCTCACTATTGCTCCAGTCCATCAGTCCCCCTTCCAGTTTTACTTGATTCCCTATCTAGCATTGACTTCTTTGGTCATCCATTTTAACAGCATTCCCCTAAACATGCTAGAATTCCTCCCAATCCTACCCCATCCCCCTGATCACCACAGCCAGGATGCACCACCCTTGTTTTTCAGTGATCTGCCTTATCTGCTAGTCTGCCTAGGATGACTGGACTCAAGCATCTGTCCATCTACAAGCATTTACTCTATTATGTGGCTGGCGCCGTACTAGGCCCTGATGAGACACATTCTAAAAACTAAACATTTCCTTCCCCCTTATCTACTAAGTACTCTGCGCTTGGGGAAGGCATTCAACATGGTTGCTGATTAGGAGAGATGGGATATGTACAAATAAATGCAGAATTATGGGATGGGAGAGGGAAGGAAGATAGATCCATTTCACCAGAGGATGTCAGTGTCTTAGAATGTTTTATTCCTCCTCACCCCCACGCCCTCTCTTCCCTGGTTTCCTTCTAGACTTACTGAAATTCCATGTTCTGCAAGAAACCTTTCTGGGGGTGTCATCCCCCTCCCTTCCCACCTTACTGCTAGTGACTTCACTCTGAGATTGCCTACCTCCTATTCATACCTTGTATCTTGTATGTACATATTCATCTGCATATTGTTTCCTCCATTATAACAAAAATGCCTTGACGACAGAAACTGTTTTGTCCCTTTCTTTGTATCTACAGCACTTAGTAAAGTGTTTGGCTCGGAGTAAACGATAAATGCTTATTGATTGATTGAACTGGGGGAATCAGGAAAGTCCTCTGGGAGAAGGCAGCCACTTGAATTAAAAACCTTGAAGGGAACAACTGGTAATTAAGGAGAGGGAACTCACAGAGTTACAGGGTTAGAGCTAGAAGGATCCCAGAAACCAGCTTCTCCAACCTCCTAATTTTACACACGAGGAAATGGAGGCCCACAGATGTTATTGGACTTGGCCAAGGGCAAAGAGGTAGTAAAAGCATCAGAGGCAGACTCCTGGAGCCTGGGCCCTTTCCGCCATACTGCACATACTGTGGTCATCCTTTCTAGGGATAGGCGCCGGTTGGTAATGTGATTTCATTGGTATGGAGAAAGGAGCTCCCAGAAGAGGAAACTCTCTCCACCAACTCCTGCTGATACCTCCTCTGCAGTTGACTCCTAGAGAGCTACCTAAGGTATTGTGAGGTTGATTGGCTAGTCTGGAGTAAATAGAGACTGTATGGGTCAGAGGCAGGACTCCAATGAGGTCTTCTAAGGTACCCTCTCTTTAGCATCATGCCTCTTCCATTCTTCATAGTGCTTCCATATGAATCTTTCCCCTACATGGGTCAGACCACATCATTTCCCTCTTCCAAACCCTATCATTGACCTTTTTTGCTTTCAAAATAATGTCCAGATTCTTTAGCCTGACATTCAAGGCTTTCTACAATCTGGTACCAAACTACCTTTACAGTCTTATCTAATGCTACATATCCCTTTTAAAAGGGCAGATAGGTGGTATGGTGGCTAGCTTGCTTGTTGCCTTTGGAACCAGGAAGATTCAACTTCATGAGTTCAAATCTGGCCTCAGACACTTAATAGCTATGTGACCTTGGGGAAGTCACTTAATCCTGTTTGCCTCAGTTTCCTCATCTGTAAAATGGGCTGGAGAAGGAAATGGCAAACTGTTTCAGTATCTTTGCCAAAAAAAACCCCAAATGGGATGACAAAGAATTGGACTCAACTGAAAACAACCCAACAACACTCGACTTTTAAGTGTAGTAGTTCAAATGAGATGATTTACTGTTCCTTCAATATGTATCCCATATTTTCTTGCTTGTGTGCCTTTACTCATCCTGTTTCCAATGCCCAGAGTGCCACACCCTTTCGTGTGCTCCGTTTCTAAGTATTCAAATCCTGCTTATCTTTGGATTTCCTTAAATGCTATCTCCATCATAAATTCTTCCATGACTTTCCTCCTCTGACAGTTCCTCACCCTAGCTAGCTTTGATCTTCCCAGTACCTAGTTTGTTAAGTCATTTTTTCAGTTGCGTCTGACTCTTCGTGACCCTTTTTGGGGTTTTCTTGGCAAAGTTACCAGAGTGGCTTGTCATGTCCTTCTCCAGTTCCCTGGTTTCCCACACCTTTTTGTTATGTATTCAAGCCTTCTAGCAGATGTTGTAATTATTTGTGTTCAGGTCATCCCCTCTCTTGTCCTTCTTGCCTGGTATGCCCTCTCCTTCCTTTCCTCTGTCTCCTGGCTTCCCTGGCATCCTTTGAGACTCAACTCAAATCCCACCTTCTGCCAGAAGCCTTTCGCAGTCTCTCCGCAGGGAGATTTCCCTCCCCATTTATACTGTGTTGTATATATCTTGTATATACATAGTTATTTGCATGTAGTCTTACCTACTGGAAAGTGATCTCCTTGGGGGCAGGGGCTATGTTTTTGCCCTTCTGCATATACACAGCACTTACCACAATGCCTGGCACATAATAAACGCTTGTGGACTGACTTGACTAAATGAAAGCAATAAACATGTTTTTATTCATTATATTGTAGCCTTCACTTTAAAAGAGGGAACCTGGTAAATATTTTCTTCTTTTTATACGGATTCATGTAATCAATTTAATTTCTTTTCATTTTGGGGGTATTATTGTACTTTGGTACTTATCAACACTTTTCCACACCTTTATTAATCCTGCTTACAAACAATTAAAGTAATTATTCCTAAGGGTTAGACAGTTAAAAGCAACAAAGACCTGGTCTTGTAATGTGAAATTACTACGTATGTAAAATAGGGCTGCTACCTTACCAGAGTGAGTTTTAATTAATATTTATAAATCACAGGAGCTGGTAAGACATTTATATTGCAATTATTACCACTGTCATATGAGTAATAAACTCTTTGAACAATGCGGGCCATTTTGCATTTTGGTCTGATTTCTCTCTCTCTCTTTTTCTCTGTGTCTAGGTGTGATGTCAGCACAGAGACAAGTCACTGTCCAAGAGGGACCACTTTATCGCACGGAAGGCTCCCACATCACCATTTGGTGTAATGTCAGTGGCTTTCAGGGACCCTCTGAGCAGAATTTCCAGTGGTCCATTTATCTGCCGTCTGCACCCGAGCGGGAGGTGCAAATTGTCAGCACCTTTGACTCTTCCTTCCCATACGCTATCTATACCCAGAGAGTACGGAGTGGGAAGATCTATGTGGAGAGAATCCAAGGCAATTCAGCCTTACTGCATATCACAGAATTGCAGGCCCGGGATGCTGGGGAGTATGAGTGCCACACACCCAACACAGATGAGAGGTACTTTGGAAGCTATAGTGCCAAGATGAACCTCATAGGTAAGGGGGCCAATGTTTTTTAAAAAGGGAAGAATGCCAGAAACTGGGTTTTTTTGCCTTCCAATGCCCTTGCCCTCTGTATAATAGAGCTTTATTTTGTATTATATATTCCATTTATTAAAAATAATTGCTATCCGAACCCACAGTCCCTCCCGTATTCCCCAGTCTTGCTTTCTTTGCTATTAAACTGCACTGCACAGATACAGACGTGAGATTTAGAGTAAGGAGGAGCATTACAGATCACCTTGTCTAATCCCCTTGTATTACAGAAAAGGAAATTGAGGCTGAGAGGGGTGCAGTAAGTTAGTTGAGTTCCCACAAAAGCAGCAGAGCTAAAATTTGAAGTTGGCTCTGTTGACTGCAAATTAAATGCTCTTTCCACTACACCTAACTCCTCTAAATAAAGTATTTGAGTTTGATTTATGCATAATAGGTGGCACAGTGGATAGAGCCCTGGGCCTGGAATCAGGAAGACCTGAATTCAAATCTGCCCCTAGAGCAAACTCTTCTAAAGAAAATATTTGAGTTTGATTTACACATAATAGGTGGAACAGTGGATAGAGCACTGGGCCTCAGTCACTAGCTGTGTGACCCTGGACAAGTCACTTAACCCTGTTGCCTCAGTTTCCTCATCTATCAAATGAACTGGAGAAGGAAATGGCAAACCACTCCAGCCTCTCTGCCAAGAAAACCCCAAATGTGGGGTCATAAAGAGTCAGAAATGACTGAACAACAACAACAAAAGAAACTTGGGGCTGAAACTTAGAAGTAAGCCCTTCCAGGTGTCAGATGCTTTGGAGAAGAATAAAATAGAGTCTGACAGAGCCCTGTATGGGTCATGGGGAGGGTGTTGGAATGGGGGAAAGGATGCAAGGATTAGATAAGAAAAACCCGTCATGATTTCAAGGAGATTGCGGGCTGGTAGGAGAATAGATCGCAACACAGATAGCTGTAATACACAGCCAGAGCATTCTTAAGTCTGCAGGGTGCCTCCTGAAATATAAAAGAGAAAGACCTGAGGAATCAGGGAAGGCTTGCCGGAGAAGGTGTGGGCTTTAAAGAATGAGTAGGAATTCAAATAAGTGAAGAAGGAGGTGAGGACATTCCAGGCAGAAGGATCTGCTTGAGCAAAGTGGAGCAGAATTTTGCTTTAACACAGTGAAAAGAAATTGTGAGAAGTGGAAATAGGGAATTAATGTTGGGGAACTAAGAGAGTAGGGCAGTGATAGGGAAACTTCGGCCCTCTAGGTCCTCAAGTTTGACCCTTTGACTGAATCCAAAGAAATTTGTTATGTAAAGTTTGGATTCATTCAAAGGGCCGAACTTGAGGATATAGGGGGTTACATGTGGTTGCAGGTTCTCTGCCCCTGGAGCAGAGGGAAGGAGCTGGGTAAGGTGAAGTTTATAAAATTCTTTGACGAAGGATGGGAAGGCTTTCAGCAACTGTAAAGCTTCAGATAGGATTCAGAAATGAATGGGAAGCTGTTAGAATAGAGAAAGGATGAAGTCCATGTGGTTGCGGCTCTTTATTTAAATACCGAGAGCCTTTCCCAAGTCTTGTAGTGCCATGCATAAGAAATGGCGAGCCAGCTGCTTTCTTGGCAGAGATGCTTGATAAAGGATGGTAGGAGTGGGAGGAAGAAGGGGGTAGAAATCTGGAAATTCGAAGGATGGCATTGGTCACAATGCTTGTGTGCTGCCAATGCAAATGGATTAAAAATAACTAGGTTGTTGAGTGTTCTTCTGTCATTGAGCCAATAATGTGCAAGTCTTCCTTTCAAATTCTTATTAATTTAATTAGGCAGAATTGTTAACAGCTCTTAGTTGACACAACTCACTATCTTTTGTTTACTTTTATTCCTCTAGAGGCCCTGTACCCCATCAGGTGGCCTTTTCAACCAAAATAGTAATTATTCCCTCTCCCTCCCCATCCCCCAAAGAGTGTACTACAAATACATCAAGATGGTCTGAAGATCTGGGACTGGGGAGGGAGGAATTCTGAGGACCTGGGATAGAGTTATCACCACTGGTGAGCCATGTTGTTATTACAATGCAGTTTCCTACAAATGTGTATGATTTACCAGCCTGGTATATGAAAATCCACACTTAGGCAGCAGCTAAATTAGAAAATGATTATTCACATTATAGTGGGATACTTCCCATTGCTAAAAAAAAAAGTCTTTAAGTGACTTTCTTAGCATATTTTAAGTATTTATTTAGAGATCATTAACTATGTAACAGGAAGAGTAGGGTTGAAAGTGTTTTGGGGGAGGGATCAGTTAATCAGTGAGTATTTAAGTCCCTACTCTGTGCCAAACACTATGCCAGGAATTAGAGATATAGAAACAAAAATGAAACCATCTATGTCTGCAAGGAATTTACATTTTATCAGAGCGAGGGGGCAGCTAGGTGGTGCAGTGGTTAGAGCACTGGCCCTGAAATCAGGAGGGCTTGAGTTCAAATTTGGCCTCAGACCAAACACTTGACACTTACTAGCTGTGTGACCCTGGGCAAGTCACTTAACCCCAATTGCCTAAAAATTAAAAAAAAAATACAAAAACATTTTATCAGAGCAAGACAGTATGTATGTATGTGTTGTTATCAAGTTGTTTCAGTCATGCCTGACTCTTTGTGACCCCATTTGGGGTTTTCTTGGCAAAGATACTGGAGTGGTTTGCTATTTCCTTCTCCAGTTCATTTTACAGATGAGGAAATTAAGGCAGACAGGGTGAAGTGACTTGCCCAGAGTCACACTACTAGGAAGTGTCTAAGGCCAGATTTGAACTCATGAAGTTGAATCTTCCTGGTTCCGAGCCCAGTGTTTTGCCTCCAATTTATATATAAATATGGCCAGAATATGTAAAAAGTATATTTTCTGGGTCAATAAAGGCTTCATGTAAGTGTTGCTCACATTGAGTTTTGAAGAAAAGAAGGGATTCGCCGAGGTGGAGATGAGAAGGGAGTGCATTCCAAGCATGGGGCACAGCCAGTACAAAAGCACAGAGACTAGAGATTGATTGTCATCTGTGAAGAACAGCTGGAAGACCAGTCTGACTGGACCATGGAGTAGGAAGAGAGCAATGTGTAATAAGTTGTAAAGGCACTTTGTAAGAGCTTAAAAACTAAACAGAGGAGCTTATACTTAATACTAGAAGTAATAGGGAGCCATTGGAGTTTATTGAAAAACGCAATGACAGGATCCAACCTGCACCATCATTTTAGTCTCTGTGAGTAAGGATGGAGTTGAGAAAAGAGAGCCTTGAGGCAAGATGCCTGTTAGGGGGCTGTTACAATAGTCCAGGTCATAGTTGATGAAAGTCTGAAGTTGATGAGTGGTGGCCTTGAGAGTATAGAAAAGGGGAGCAAAACCAGAGATAGAAGGAAATGAAATGATAAGATTTGCCTAGTAACTGAATCCATGGGGTGAGGGAGATTGGGGGGTCAAGGATAATGCCAATGTTGTGAACGGGGGCAGCTTGGAAGAATGGTGGTGCCCTCAGCAGAAGGAGAGAAGATTTCAGGCCATTGGGGGTAGGGGTAGGGGAGAGGAGTTTTGGGAGTAAAATGATGAGCTCTGTTTGGGACTGGTTGAGTTTAAGATGCCTATGGGCATTGAGCTTTTAATCTCCAAGACAGAGTGTGAATATGGCGCTCTATATAAATTTTGAGAGTCATTTGCAGAGATAATCATTTAGACCATTAGGAACAATGAGGTCACCAAGTGGGAGGGTAGAGACAGATGGAGAAGAGGGCACAGGACAGAACCTTGGGGTACACATACAGTTGGGAGTCTGATATGGATAATGAGCTGGGAAAAGGGAACTGAGAAGTAGGGATCAGACTGGTAGGAAGGGAGCCAGGAGAGAGCAGTGTCATGAAAATCCAGAGTGGAATAATTATCTAGGAGGAGAGGGTGGTCAGCGGTGTAGAATTTAAAAACTAGAAAGCTTCAGTTGAGGAGTTTCTGCTGTGTGAAGAAATGAAAACATCTTGGATGTAACATAAATCAAGAGGAGAACCCAGGCTGACTTTCAAAAATTTGTACTTACGCAACTTTTCAGGGAACTAATTTATTATGTAAAGTGACAAATGCTCATATTTTACACAGGGTGTTGTAAATTCCCAGAACGTCAGACCCGCCCATATGCATACTCATTGTAGGCATAAAAGCCCATTTCAATGCCAAATAGAAAAGATTTTTGAAGTATCTGTATCAGAGCTCCTTCCCCCCAGCCCTCCCTTCCATTAGCTCAGATAATTAATATTTGACCATTTGTTTGGATTGCTGCAATGGGGAAAGGGACTCCTCCATTGTTGAAGAGAAAGAGAACAAACATTTATTAAGAACCTACTATGTGCTAGGTGATTAAAAATATTATTTCATTAGATTAGGCTGTAAATTCTCTTGTCACTCTAAGGTTCTTTGATTTTTATAATTTTATTTTGATCTTTTTTGCCTTTATATCCCTAGTGCCTGACACATAGTAGGTATTTAGTAAACATTGGTTGGTTGACGAGTCATGGATTGAGGGCCAAAAGGGACCTCAGAGGTTATCAAACCTATTGAATTCCCTCATTTTACAGTTGAGGAAATTGAGGTATAGAAAGGTAAGCTGACTTGCTGCCCAAGGCTACTCAGGCAACTAACAACAGAACTGGGTTTTGAACCCAGATCCTCTGCTTCTAGTCGAGTATTGTTTCCATGGCGTTGGTATAGTATTCTTACCATGTTTACTTTTCCATCCTGTAGTGATCCCAGATTCCCTTCAGGCAACAGCGACACCCCAGACGCTTCAGAAGGTGGAGCAGGACTCCCTGGAACTGAGCTGTGAGGTGGCCACGGAGACGTTGCAGCACAGCCACCTGTCAGTTACCTGGTACAGGCAGAGGGCTGGCGAGAAGCCCGTGGAGGTGATCTCTCTGAGCAGGGATTTTGTGCTCCATTCTAGCAGTGAGTATGCACAGAGGCAGACCTTGGGAGAGGTCCGCCTGGACAAGTTGGGCGAGACCACCTTCAGGCTCACCGTTTACCACCTGCAGACGTCCGACCAAGGCGAGTTCTACTGCGAGGCTGCTGAGTGGATCCAGGATCCTGACAAGTCGTGGTACCCCATGACCCTCAAGCGTTCGGAAGGAGCTGTGGTCAATGTCCAGCCAACTGGTTAGTGTCCTTGAGCCTCTCTTCCCTTCTCTTTGGTTAGTGCTTTATTTCCCTGGATGTGTGGGTTGTTTGGCCCTAAAGTGGGTAAATTTGAAGGCCGTTAGAAGCCAAAAAGATGTTTATGTATATGTGGCATTGATACCACATCTAGATATTTTTGCAACCAGGGCAGGTATCATAGACCACTCTGGGCAAGCAGCCAAAGTAGGCCCAGAGTTGTTGAGGGATGGGGTGTCTGGAGACGACACTAATTCTATTGCGTGGATAAAGATAGAAACAGAAGCCTTTGGACACTAACTGAAAGGCTGCTTTTTGTAGAGACTAGCCCATAAGGTGGGGACAAGAGAGGAGAACTGGACTGTGGAAGAGTTCTAGAGCCTTCAATGTTCCATCTGAAGATTACTATGTTAACTAATTATTCCTGCTAACTAGATGTTTAATTCTGTTGATTCTAAGTTGCTAATGCTGTCAGCATCCTAAAATAAGTGCCTTGGGGCAAAGCCCCATTGCCCTGTCCTAGTTATGACTCTAATGGTCAATTAAACATTGGATTTACCTAAGGGCCAATGAGGTTGGGGGATGTTTAATGTAAGTACTTTAAGAAGGCCTGTCAATTTATTTGTGTAACATGAGGAACCTATACAAATTGTTGTACAAATTGCAGATTTCTGGTATGTAACCCCAGAAAGAATCCTGGCATACATTTATGTAACTAATCTCAGGAGGGTGGAGGATGTTGTTAAGCTAGCCTGTGGGAGTCTTAATTAATTCATGTGCTCTACCATAATGATTGTTTATGATAGAAAATAAGCTCCTCGAAGGCAGGAACTATCTCTTTTTAAAGTTATATCCCCACTTCAGTGCCTGGCACATAGTAGGTGCTCAAGAAATGCTTGGTTGTTGATGGATTAATTATGGTAGGGAGCTTGGAAAATATTTCCCCTTGAGAATGATTTCCTGTTATTGGATTGTTCTAACTCCAAGTGGCCCGCAGAAAAATAAACAACGATGCAGGGGTTGAAGGAGCACCATGTTGAGACAGTATCTCTTTTGACTCTGTGAGTGGGAAATGGATAAAGACCAGAATATGCCTTATATATTTTTCCTCTTTTGATGTTTGAAAACAATAGTTAGGATTCCAGGCCCCTGCTGCTTCCATGGACTGCAAGATAAATAAGAGATAAGGACATGTCCAGCATGAGCCATGGGTCTAGACTGGAGAGCCGATGTCCTGTGTGTTGAATGTTTGGTTTTGCCACTGTGAGCTGCTGTTGTATGCTTTTGTAGGGGAAGGCTTTCTCAGATGGCCCTGTGTTGCTAGCATTAAAGTTGTTTTGAGTGTCTTTGTGAATTCTCCAAATATTCTATTCTAAAAGTGTGCTGGTAGTGTTGAGGGTGAGTGAGTGGATGCTTGAATGTCCTGTGGAAGGATGAGTCTAGGTCAATTCAAGGGACAAGGTGGGAAAGTTCCATTTGGATTCTCCTAATTGAAAAAAAAAAGTCAGAAACTTTGGTTTCTCTCACTTCTGTTACTGTTTTGTGGAGAATTTTCTTCTAGCTCAGAGATTCTTAACCTCCCTTGTGTCTATGGAATCCTTTGGAAGTCTGATGAAGCTTGTGGACCCATTTGCAGAATCATGTGTTTAAATGTGTAAAGTAAAATATGCAGGATCACAAAGGAAGCAAAAGATGCCTTTTTTCCCATCCAAATTCAGGGATATCACCCCTCTTCCTACCCCCATTTCCCAGGTTAAGACCCTCTGTTCTAGCTGTTCTGTGTCTTCAAATGGGGTCGACATTCCCTGGTTAGGTAGCGTTTATTAATTTCCATAATGATATGAAAATTTAATGGGGTGTGAGAGCTTGAGGCCATGTCATTAAATGGGTGCTTCCTAACCAGCTCTCGAGGACTGGAGTATTCAGAAGCTTCTGAGTCTTTTAAACATCCTGAAATGAATTCGTTTGACAAGAATTTATTAATCAGTCAGGAAGCACCTATTAAACTATTGTGTTTCAGGAGCTGTACAAGGCTTATATTTTATCTAGAGAGACACATGTGCATGTGCACACACATATACACACGTATTTTATACCTCCATCCATATATACACATGTACATGTTTATACATGCATATGTGTGGATATATGTATATGTATAAGTATATTTATGTTCATATTAGAAATGAGATAGTTTATGGTGATGGGGATCTTTTAAGTTGTCTATCATAACCATTCAACAGGCATTTATTAAGCACCTACTGAGTAACAGATCTTAAGTGTAGGTATGGGATTACAAATACAGAAGTGAAATGGTGGTTAGCAGCTGGGAGTGGGGGAGGTGCTCAGGAAAAGCTTTGTGCAGAAGGCGGTGCTGGAGCTGAGTTTTGAAGAAAATGAGAAATCCCGAGGCTGAGGTGGGGGGGTATATTTCAGGCATAAGGGACAGGTGGTCCCCCCATGGGAGGGATAGAGTCTCATGTAAGGAATAAGGAAAAGACTATTTATCTGGGCCACAGAGTGGGAGAAAGGGAGTAATACATCATAAGGTTAGACAAGTAGGTTGGGGGCTAGCTTGTAAAGGTCCTTAAATACCATAAAGAAGAGTAAATATTTTATTTTGCAGACAGTAGGAAGTTGGCTGATTAGGAGAATGATGTGGTCAGACCTTTGCTTTAGGAAAATCACCCTGATAGCACCTACTGTGTTCCAGACAAAATGGTGGTGTTAGGTATAAAGACGGATAAAAACAAAGACATCTCCTCCTCAGGGAGCTCCCATTTTACTAGAGGGAGACAATGTGTGCATGGATGAGAAAATACAAAACATGTATGAAATCATAGTTGGGGTGGGGAGGTGATGAATACTGGGGAAGAACAGAACAAGAGCCTTGTGTAAAAGGGGATGCTCGAAGGAAGTGGGGAATCGCGTGAAGTGGGGGTGAGGAGGGAGGGACAGTCTGTGAAAGCCTCAGAGTTAGGAAAAGGAATGTCAAGTGTGGGGAACAACAATGAGGCCAGTCATGAGGGGATGTTGAGTGTGTGAAAGAGGATAATGTTCAGTAGGTCAGGAAAGGCAGGCCAAAGGGAACGGGCTTTGAGCTGGGAGAAGGTCTTTCTTCAGGCCTCTTACTTGGTAACTCTGGTCTTTCATCCCTATCCTGCGTAACTTTAAGATCAGTCATGAACTCTTGAGTGCACTGGTTGCCTGAGTTTAATCGTCTTTATTTTAGTCATACCTACTTGGAGTTAGGATTTTCCAAATCTGACGTGCAAATTCATCCAAGTTCCATCTTTTTGGAAGACAATACCAGATTAACTTAAAGGAAGATGGTTGTGGCGTCAGTATATCACCTCCTGTCTGTTTAGCTGCAGTGATAGCTGGCTTAAATTAGTACCCTTCCCAGTTCATACTTAGTGCTGCAAAAACAGTTCGGGGAGAAGTTGACTGAGAGAAGATTGAGAAGGAAACCGGTGGGTACTGAAGCAACCGTGGGGCTATGGTTCTTCTCCCTGTAGGAAAAAGTGGGGGGGGGGCATGGGGCACGCAGCTAGGTGGCGTAGTGGGTACAGCACCAGCCTTGGAGTCCGGAGGACCTGAGTTCAAATCCAGCCTCAGACCAGACAGTTGACACTAGCTGTGTGACCCTGGATAAGTCATTTAACCCCCATTGCCTCACTTAAAAAAAAAAAAAGGAAAAAACAGGGGTGGGGAACCTTGTGGTCTCGAGGTCTCAAGTACAGCCCTTTGACTGAATCTAAATATCACAGAACAAATGGAAAAAAATCTTCCTTCCCCAGCCCTGATCCCTGCCCGCTTGCCTGTGTTGTATAGTAACTACGTGACAGTGAAGAGGCAATTGGACACAGTGGAAATAACTCTGGCTCTGGAGCCTGAGGGACCCAGGTTTCAATCCTGCTGCCGATGCTTACTAAGTCCCTAGGCCTGTTTCCTCATCTGTAAAAAGAAAAGGTTGCAGTAGACACCTTTAAGGTCATGTCTACTTTAATGGGGCCACTAGGTGGCACCATAGTGCACAGAGTGCCTAGCCTGGAGAGTTCAAATCTAACCTTAGATACTTCCTAGCTGTGTGACCTTGGACAAGTCATTTCACCCTGTTTGCCTCAGTTTCCTCATCTGTAAAATGAGCTGGAGAAGGAAATGGCAAATCACTGAGGTATCTTTGCCAAGAAAATCCCAAACGAGGTCACGGAGAGTCAAACACAACTGTAAATAACTGAACATCTAGCTCTAAATCTATGATCCTAAGAAAGACCTGTTTTGACAGCCTCACTTCTTCCCGACAGTATTATGCTCTGACTTTTTCATCTTCTCTTTTTTTTCTCTCTTTTTAAAAAAAAATATATATAAGGATGACAGAACACTGGGTCCCAATTTTTTTTTTTCAGCTAGTAAATTTCAAAGGTGGGATTTGAAATCTGGTCTTCCTGACTCCAGCCAAACTTAGCCCTCTCTCTGCTAAGCTATGCTGCCTCCATCTGTTAGTGACTTAATGATTCCTTAGGGGAAAAGAATACCTCTGACCTCCATCCCTTCCTTCTTGGATAAAACAAAAACCTTTTAGGAATGTTTGGGAACCCCACTTAAGAGGTTGTCCTAAAAGATTGGGTCTAATTGGTGAACTGCTACTGAGAAGTTAGCTTGAATTTCTCCCCTATGATTCTGTTGAGTTTGCCTGTCTCGCCGTATTTGATGATATCTGCTACCATGGTATCATCCTCAACTCCTCACTCTTACTCACTCTGCTCGTCCAGTATATTGCCAAATCTTGTCGTGTCTGGCATGACACCATCTGTCTGATACATCCTTTTCTCTCTCGTCACACACACAGCCACTACCCTATTGTCTTAGTTCCTCCTCACTTCTTGACTAGAGTATTGCAAATAGAGACTAATTAGTCTCCCTACCTCAGGTTCCTCCCCAATATACTCTATTGGCCACTTGGTTGCCAAAGGGATTTTCTTTCTTTTTTTGGGGGGGTGGTGAGTCAATCGGGGTTAAGTGACTTGCCCAGGATCACACAGCTAGTAAGTGTCAAGTGTCTGATGCTGGATTTGAACTCAGGTCCTCCTGACTCCAAGGCTGGAGCTTTATCCACTGCACCACCTAGCTGCCACTGAGATTTTCTTAAAGTGCGGATCTGACAGGTTCTTCCCCCAACTTAATAAATTCCAGCGGCTACCTATTACCTCCAGGCTTAAATAAATGTCTTCTCCTTTGCATTTAAAGCTCTTTAGAACCTGATCCTTTCCTACCTTTCCAGTTCTCTTATCCTTGGCTTTTTTCTGTGTATTCTCTGGCCTGTTTGCTCCATCCTTAGACACAACACTCCATTTCCTCCCATGCTTTTTCACTGCTGACCCCAGGGCCTGAAATGTTCTCCCTCCTTATCTCTGTTTCTCAGAATCCCCAGTTTCCTTCAGGGCTCACCTTAAATGTCATTTTTTGCAGGAGGCCTCTCTTAGGTTCCCAGGCTGGTAGAGACTTCCCCTCTAGGATCACCTCTCTTCTTCTACTGTTGATGTAGTGTGTGTGTGTGTGTGTGTGTGTGTGTGTGTGTGTGTGTGTGTGTG